CATTAGAGCAAGTGTTGGAAGCTTTGAATTGGTTAAATTCATGCATGTTTGCATGTTCTTCATATTCATGAAATTTAGTTTCAATTTGGGCTCAATTGATCTTCCTTTGGGGTTTTGATTTTACATTTGAGCTTTGAATCATGTTAAACTTTGAGTTTTGGAATGTTTTCTGGAAAATTGGCCCAAATAGTATGGTTTTGATGCATCTAAAGTTGAATTTGAGCTTGAGGTTCAAATATGGGAATTCCAGATTTTGAACTCACGCTCGAGCGGGGTGACTGACGCTCGAGCATGGAAATCGAGCTCCCAGCATTTTGTTCTGCTTTTAAGTCAGCTCGAGCAGGGTAATTTACGCTCGAGCGGGACCTTCTGTATTACACTCGAGCAGGTGTCGAGCGCCCAATCGAGCGTGAATTTCACCTATCCAGCACTTTTTACTGTTTTGCAGAACGCTCGAGCGGAAACCTTTGTCTGCATGTCCGCTCGAGCGGAGTAACCTACGCTCGAGCGTGACCCCTGTTTTCTGAAAATGCTTTTAAAATGCATCTTTGCATCCTCATTTCATCCTAGGCATTCTTAGGCCTAGTTTAAGGCATCTTAATGAGGATATAGATGTAGAACACACCGAGGCAAATTAGGGATTAAGTTATTATCTTTCCCAACTGTGTAGCTTAGTGTGTGTTCGTCCTGTAAACTGTGTAGGGTTGGCGACTGGAGACGCGCTCTAACTTAACTGTAACCCAGAACTCTGTGAGTAACAATTGTGTAAAGATATGTTCAAAGATGAATATTTTTCGACTGTTAACTGAACTGCTTTCTGAACTGTTACTGTCAACTGAATGAATGTATGTCCTATATTCTGAACTGTATTATGGCATCCTTAGCAACTACTGTTTACTATTACTGCTACTGTTACAGAGATCGCTGTCGGTTCCCATGTGAAATCACTACTGTTTACTGTTATGATGGCCATCATTGACTGCTCGGTCATTTAAGACCTACTGTTTACTGTACTGCTGTACTAATGGATCTACCACATATGACTGTTACGACTGAACGATTGAAATATTGATTTAATGAACTGTTTTCATTACTGTAAGAACATTCATTCTTAACCTCTTTACGCATTATGTTATTCACTAGGCTTTAGCTCACTGTTTATATATATATATATGTAGGTGTACAGGCAGCAGACCGGAGCTAGGAGCATGGGTTAGACTCCCTTTTTGGTCAAGCCAACCACTGCGCATCACTGTGAAGTTCCGAGCCTGCCAAGCTATGGCTTAGGGGTGTTTTAATTTTCCCCCGTCTGTCTCTGTATCTGTTTTGTAATAACTGTATAGACTGATAGCACTGTACTGTACTGTCCAACAGGGATTAGGTCCGTGTTCTGATCGACTGTAAATGTTGTACATATTGTTCTGTATTGTTCATGTATATATGTATGAAAAATCTTTTTGCATATAGACTCACAACTCATTGGATATTGTTTATTTACTGTTTTGGCTTCCGCCATGCCCCTGTACTCTGTATTATTGTCTAATTGTTAAGCAGGCCTTTGGTAATCTCGGATTACTGGCCGGTTACGGTGCTAAACCCATAGGGGCGAGTTTGGGTCGTGACAGAGGAGAACCATACAAACGTTCATAAGCAAAGAGATTGGCTATGAGAGGAGTAGGTACACGATTTATGGTGTAAACAGCAGTGAGAGTAGTTTTCCCTCAAAACTTTTCAGGACACGAAGAGGAGATGAGAAGGGCCCGAGTAGTGTCTAGAATATGACAATACTTTTTTTCAGTGTGACCATTTTGTTGGGACGTGCCTGCATAAGAACGATGAGATTGGGTACCATGGGCTCGAAGAAAGGAAAGAAAATCAGAATCCAAGTATTCCATAGCATCATCAGAACGAAAGGTTTTAATAGTTTGAGAAAACTGAGTATGGACCATGACAGAAAAATCATAATAAACTTGTTTAAGTTCAGACCGATTTTTGAGAAGAAATATCCAAGTATAACAAAAAAAATCATCAACAAAAATTACAAAATATCTAGATCCCCCCATGGTCGAGGTGGGGGTGGGTCCTCATATATTGGAATGCACAAGAGTAAACGGGGCAGTAGAAATAGAATTACTTTTATTAAAAGGTAATGCAGGCTATTTAGCAAGTGGACAAGGAAAACAATCAACATTTTCAGAACTAACACGACCCAACCGACCACTAGAAACCACAGTTTTTAAACAAGTAAAAGAGACATGTCCTAACGACAATGCCAAAGGTAAAAAGAAGTCATAGAAGTAGAAGCAGAGGAAAAGGCAACAGAAACAGCAGTGGTTGATGTAAATGGAATGCGAAGATGAGGAGGCTCGAACAAATGTTCATGCCTACGGCCTATCCCAAGGATCTGTTTCGTCTGAGGTCCTGCACCAAATAACCATTAGCAGAAAAAGTGATGGTGAGACCAAGTTTACACAATTGACCAATTGAGATAATGTTTAATTTAAGAGCAGACAGGAATGTAATAAACATTAGAAAGAGATACAATGGAAGTAGAAATTTGACTAATGTGACTAACAGACATATGAGAACTATTAGCAGTATGTATAGAGCGAACAGAAGAGGATGATGAGATGGAAGAAAATATAGTAGAATTAGAGGTCATATGATTACAACATGCAGAATCAAAATACCATGAAGGATTACCTAATGAGACTGACAGAGTAGGAGAAGGAAGAGTACCAGATTTGGCAAGCACCTGTTGGATAATGCACTTAACATCATCCATAGAAAATGAATAGGATCAGTAAGGTAGGAAATGCAAGAACTCTCTGATGCGGCAGCAGCAGCAAGACAAGAACCATGAGTAGATTTGGACTGAGGCCCAATATGTGAAGACCCTTTCCTGGAAGAAGAAACAAGGGAAACCCGAGGACAATTGCTTTGGAGATGACTATAAGCAGTCTTGTGGCAAGTCAAGCAGTCACGAACCTGGCACTAAAGTAAAGAATGATTGGTAGGTAGGCCACGGTTACGACAATAAATGTATGAGATAGGAGGCTGTGAAGATGGAAAACCTCGTAATGATGGCATAACAAGAGCAGTTGGAGTTTTGAGCATCCCAAAACGAGTTTCTTTTGACAAGAGTTCAGTAATGGGTTGCTCCAAAGTCGATAAGGGAAGACGATGGAGCAAGGAAGCATGCATAGGTTCAAAGGTGCTATGAAGAGCCATAAGAAACTGCAATAGTCGCTGATGATTCCTATGAACAATAAATAACTGTGCATCCTCCGAATGTGCCCAAATAGGTTCAAAAAGAGCCAACTGGTCCCAGGCAAATGACATTTGGGATAAAAAAACATTGATGGACTAACCAGGCTTTTGGCACATGTGATGAAGAGTTTGTAGGAGTTGATGTTGGTAAGCATGGCCAGTAGTTTGATAACATTCCTTCAAGAAATTCCAAATTGCCTTAGTAGGAGAGACAATGGAATCGTCATTCTGAAAGCGTCCAAACTAAAGGTTAGTGGAAGGAACAGAAGTAGCCCGGAACCATGTGATAATCTGGTAGTTCTTCCCTTCTCATTCATCAAGACGTTCATCGAAAGCAGATACAGTCTCTTTGTCTTCCTGGACAGGTTTATGAAGAGCACTAGTGATAATACGCCAAAGCCACTTCCCTTTGATGAATCCAGAGAGAGCTTGGGCCTAGAGAACATAGTTAGACCCATCAAGTGTAACGGAAACAGAATGGATGTTGTCATAACGATCCATGATGCTCAAATAGGGCAAAAACAAAGAAGAAAGTGCTTTGTAAAGGCTAATTTTGCCAAAACAGAACACACCAGTAGATTCAAGAGGCCGAAAATAGTGGAGATATGGCTGAACGGACCAAAAATACGACTAGAAAAGCAGTGAATCAACTAGTCAAAGTGGGTTGACCAATCTGGTCAAGCAAGGCTGATGTCACAACAAGAGGAACGACGTCAGCATGTGTGGTGCATGTTAGCAGAGAGGCGTGCAGTGCACGATAGTAAGCAGAGCAGCAACGGCACACCGAACCAGGGCTGACGTCGACTGATGTCAGAACACGCAGCTCAACTTAGCAGATGAGGCCGCGGCGCACAATAGCATAAGACAAGTGCAGGAGGCGCATAGGGCATGTAGGAAAACGGTACAGCGCGTGGCTAAGAAAAGTGCAGGAGGCGCGTAAGATAACGGGACAGCGTGTGGCCAATCTTATGGCAGCGCGTGGCGGCGCGTGGAGCGTCGATGACGATGAATCTGGTAGCGTTGGCTTCGTCTTAAAGAGACGAAGAAGCTTGTGTAGTCCAATCTATGAAACAGAAAAAGACTAGATACGCCGAAACCAACGTGAGGAGGAAGCAATTTGCCAAACAGAAGAAAAAAAAAAAAAAAAAAAAAAAAAAAGGTGATGTAGAAGAAGAGGAGGTTAGGAAAAAACCCTAAGCTCTGATACCAAGTTATGAGAGTAGAAAGAGAAGAGAAAAAAGAACTCTTATATTCAATGTATGAATGAATAAGTACACACTCCTTTATATAGGAGAGAAGATAAATATATACAGAAAATATACTATAAAAAATATATACAAATAATATTTTAATATATCTTAATATACTATATTAACTAGTCAAAGTGAATAGTAAGTAAATATAACTTATCATTGCTACGAGAAAAGACATAATAATAATAATATCACATAAAAACTAGACATATAAGCAAAAACAAGGTTCCCCACATACCCATTAAAACTACAAAATTTATAATCCACAACTTAAAGCACAAATAAATAAATAAAAATAAAGCTTATATTAAAAGTAGGGGAATTTTAAATTTTTTTTTATAAGATGGTTTTAATTATTTGAGATGGGATTAGGACATTAAAAATCCAGCTAAGGGTAGCGTTGTATGATTGTGAAAGTTCTTCATTAAATCCTCTCATCTGCCTCCATTATTTTTAGCCTTTAAATCTCTACCCTCCCCTCCCCTCCACCCCTCACCACTACCAACCACCACTGTCTCTCTGAAACTCTCCCACTCTCTCTCTGCAAGAATGCCACAAATCATGCCAGACTTCTCCAACTCCATCAAGCTCAAGTATGTCAAACTGGGCTATCAATATTTTATCAACCACATTCTCACTTTCTTCCTCATACCCACCATTGCTCTCATCCTCATCGAGCTCATCCGATTAGGCCCCGACGAAATCCTCACCGTCTATCAATCACTGCACTTCGATGTCGTCCAAGTCCTCTGCTCTTCTTTTCTCATCGTCTTCATCTCCACCGTCTATTTCATGTCGAAGCCTCGCTCGATCTTTCTGGTCGACTACGCCTGTTACAAGCCTCCAGTGACGTGTCGGGTACCATTCTCGACATTCATGGAACATTCTCGGTTGAACCTCAAAGACCACCCGAAAAGCGTGGATTTCCAGATGAGAATTCTCGAAAGGTCGGGTCTCGGAGAGGAAACATGTTTGCCTCCCGCGATTCATTACATTCCTCCCACTCCAACCATGGAAGCTGCGAGAGGAGAAGCCGAGCTTGTTATTTTCTCCGCGATCAATTCGCTAATGGATAAGACGCGTGTAGTGCCAAAAGACATCGATATACTTATCGTGAACTGTAGTTTGTTTTCACCGACACCTTCATTATCAGCTATGGTGGTGAATAAGTATAAACTGAGAAGTAATGTGAAGAGCTTCAATTTGTCTGGTATGGGGTGTAGTGCTGGAGTAATCTCAATTGATTTAGCTAGAGATCTTCTTCAAGCTCATCCCAATTCATGTGCTTTAGTGGTTAGTACTGAGATCATTACTCCTAACTACTATCAAGGTCAGGAGAGAGCTATGCTGCTGCCCAATTGCTTGTTTCGAATGGGCGGCGCCGCCATTCTTCTCTCGAATAAGCGTCGCGATCGGACACGAGCCAAGTACCGGCTTGTTCACGTTGTTCGAACTCATAAAGGCGGCGACGACAAGGCCTACAAGTGTGTTTTTGAGGAACAAGACGAGCAGGCCAAAGTGGGAATCAGACTTTCCAAAGACCTAATGGTGATCGCCGGCGAGGCTTTGAAGTCGAACATAACGACGATGGGACCGTTAGTCCTTCCCGCTTCCGAGCAACTCCTCTTCCTCTTCACTCTCATCGGCCGAAAAATTTTCAACCCTAAGTGGAAACCTTATATTCCGGATTTTAAATTGGCTTTCGAGCATTTCTGCATCCATGCTGGAGGTAGGGCCGTGATCGATGAGCTCCAGAAGAACCTTCAACTGTCCGGGGAACATGTGGAGGCCTCGCGGATGACCTTGCATCGATTCGGCAACACGTCCTCGTCTTCGCTTTGGTATGAACTGAATTATATTGAAGCGAAAGGGAGGATGAAGAGAGGAGATAGGGTTTGGCAAATTGCTTTCGGAAGCGGGTTTAAGTGCAACAGTGCAGTGTGGAAGTGTAATCGCACCATTAAAACACCAAGTGATGGACCATGGCAAGACTGCATTGATAAGTACCCAGTTTACATTCCAGAGATTGTCAAGCTCTAATTTTTTCTTAGGGCTAGATTATTAAAGCTCAAATATCCGTTACGTAACGTAAATGCTATAAAAAAAAAAAATACTCAGAAAGTGTATAGAATTTAAAATAAGTGTGTGCAGATATAAATCTGGTCGACACGTTTTGAATTCTTCACATTTTTTTGGGTGTATAGCATTGCTAATACTTGTTATAGCTGTTGTCGTATTTCTGCATTGATACATGTTTGTCTTTTTCCTTCTCTTTTTTTTTTTTCTGCAAAAATCTGCGTTGCATTTAGTTCCATGTAGTTGTCATAAGACTTATCACTGTTTCATGAAAGGGAGATGTAACCCATCAAGCTGTATGTATTATTTCAAAATGCTTATAAATGAAAATACACAATAATATTGTTGAAAACAGTAGTATCTTTTTAAAATTAGTTTTACTTTTTGGATGATCCTAGTTGTACTTGTATATTCATGCAGAGTCACGCAAGTAATTTTTCAGGTATGCACTAAGGAGAATAAAAATCACGCCCATATCGATCTCTTCATGATACTTATAAATATAGTTTTTTTTTTTTTTTAAATCGTTTAAAAAAAAACTTTATTGAATAAAAATTAAGGACAAATTCTTACATCATATATATATCAATAAAAATAAAAACCAAGTAAGTAATATAAGTATCAAAATGAAAATCATTTATCTCAATTAAGTTAGCACACAAGGACACATCCAATCATATGCAGCACGTACACCAACATGGCTGAGGAGAAATTAACCAAACAGAAGACAAAACAACTACTACCAGCAGCCCAAGAAGCAGACAAAACAAGCAACTAATTAACAACCCCTAATAGCTTTAATCCTAAACACTAAATCAGAAACTGAATAACTCACCCCTTTGACATGGTATTTTACCCATAAGGCTAAATATAGTTTATAGACAATCCACAATTAATTCAGCTCCAACAAAACTATTTTTTTGTAAAAACAAAATTCACCCAAAGTCACTTGATTCTCGATTATTATTACTTGATATTCTAATACAATTATACAGCGACGGATTCAATTCACCATTTAATATTGCTATTTGAAACCTTCTTCTAGTTTTTTATTTTATTTTATTCAAACTTCTAGTTATTGTAAGTCTGTGGATAATGTAAATTTACCGACAAGTTCATATATAGAATATTAATTTGAAAAACAATTAGTATACATAATCTAATTACAGAATCAAATCTCGTGTCTAATTTGTTTGATTCTATGATTGAATTTAATAATAATGAACCAAAAAAGGGGACATTCAATTGGTTGTTATATGTAGCAGTCCAATTTACACCAAGTGGGATTGTCTAATTGGCCACTTCTTTGCTTTTGAGGGCTACTAAATTCCACAACCAACTGTTTGTTGAATGGAATTTAATATGGCACATACGGATTAAGATTTAGGAAAATGTCATATCAGCCCACAAAATATTTCCAAATTTTCAGTCCCCACCCCCACATCACTGCTTATAAATTGCCATGAAATTCAGATTACAGAATCGCAGCACAAATTCAAATTAAATGTAGCCAGAATATAAATATAAATTTATTATAATGTTAGTCACATACTTTTCAAATGTGCTTAATATGTTTGATAACACTGCTCTCTCTCTCTCTCTATATATATATTTATTTATTTTTGAACGGCACACTGCTCTATATTTGGTGGTGACATTGTGAGTTGATTTGTTTTTCTTATTGGGATCTATCATGGGTAGGACTAGTGGGTTGTTTGGTTGATCAATAATGGCTCTTTATTATGAAAAATAGCAATGCTAGTATACACCGAATGATGTGAGTATTATGTACAATTTTTAGTAGTTCTTTTTTAAGGATACTTAACATTTTTCTTGTGAAAAGTACAGATGATTTTTTTCATGTTTAACGCGTGTAAATACATAAACAAAAACATATATTGATTTCAAAATTATATTAATAAAAAATAATTTACAATTAGAATTTCTGTACATAAAATTTATACACAAGATCAAGGGTCTAACCAGGTAGTTCACGTGCCCCTTGACAGGTTTGATACCTAGGTTTAAGTTTTGCGACTGTGAATACGACTTTCCTCCTATTCCCGTTTATCAGAATTTTTTTTTTAAAAAAAAAATGATGTGGTGATGATATTTTTAAATTTTGATAAAAAAGTCACATCCATATTATTTTGTATGAAAATTCTATTAGTATGGTATTACTCTTCTTATATATTGGTGAATTAGTAGGTCATTTAAGTTAGGTTTGAAATATTGATGAATTTCAAACTTTGTAATTTATGTTTAGAACTAATCTTAAATGGGCTTTAATCGATCTGAAAAACACTTTATAGTATATATAAGCATAAAATATATTCAAATTTTATATGTTTATATATGGAATCAATCTCAAACAATTTTTTAACTAAGTCAAACTCAAATACTTTAGTTCATTTTATAATTATAGTGGGTGATCAAATTATTAAAAAATAAATAAATAAATAAATAAAAACTTGGCACATTCCGTCACCCATGCCCACAGATAGACTTGGTGCGTGAGCATGGTCTATGGATTGTGTTCTCTCTCTCCCTCTCTGTTCCATTTTCCTATTGTAGGTTTGTATATTTGATGCTTGTATCGTTGATATTACATGTACCAATTAATATAATATTAGTATACTAATTAATATTATACAATTATTATTGATCCCACATATTATACAAATTATGGCTTCGTTTGGGAAGATAGATTGTGGGTTTTTTTGGCTATTTTAGCCATAAAAGACAAAACAGGCTATTATAGTCACAACAAACAAAACATCACATCCAACCCATAATCATTACACTATTCTCTCACAAAAAAAGTCAAAAAAGTCAAAAAGCCAAAAAACCCTTCCCAAACCAAGCTTTTTAGCCTAGGCTAAAATAGCCAAAAAAGCCAAAAAGTCAAAAAGCCAACCCACTTTCCAAACCAACCCTATAAATACTTAAAACTTGTAAAATTATGTCGCATCATCTGTTAATATATTAGTTAGTACATTAATTGATACATATAGCATTATTTTTATTTTTTTTTGAATGTTGCTATTAGCACCCTATCAATTATTTTGGACCTCTCATTTCTTTGGACTCCCACTTATAAATTGTAAAACTCTTGAAACTTATTTTCTCCCCCCAAATAATATCAAAATTATTCTTGTAAAAATATTTCACCCATTCAAATGCACACCCTTACACCCAAAAAGTCTCTCTCCCAAAATCCTTACAAAGTTCACGACAATGGATCCTCCCAAAACTAGTAGAAAAAATTTGTGGTGATGAAGAAGTTTTTTTCTCTATTTCATTACAAGATTTGTCAATCTGTTTATTTTTATTTTTTTCTATTACCTCTTTTCACACATACAATACAATCCAGTTTCATGCTCCTCTGGTTGGTTTTCTATCATTTACCATGGCCTCACTGTACTTATATGATCTTTGTATGAGCAAAACTAGGTAGGATTTCACTCCCTGGTCGACCAGCCGGTTCCAAGAGTAGTCCGACCTCCTTTATTTGCCGACTTCTGCTGCTACTTCGGTTATTTGTTCCTGAACAAATAAGAAATGTTCGGTTACCTATTCCTGAATAAATAAATAATGTTCAGGCCTGTGTTCCCAAATTTCGGTCATATGTTCGGGTGTTCCGTCTGAAAAAATGACGAACAATTTTTATTATTTTTTTCAAAAAATTTACCCTTAACGGGCCAATCTCCTCTGAGCTAAGAACACCATTATAGTTATAAACATTTTCTAAGCTTTTATTATTGTACTCATCTCGTTTCATAGAGTTGTGGTTGCCGAAAAAACTTCTACCCATTGTCATTGCCGGAGAAGTGTATATAATCAAATAATTGCCACCGTTACCGCTGGAATATTACTGCTAAAGGGTTTCAAGGTTTTGAGGGTACGTAGATTTTAAAAGTGAGATTTGAAATAGATGGATAGATGATGATGGAGGTAAGTGTTCTCATATACCCTAACTCATGATGTAGTGGGTATGTGAGTTTAATTGTGAGATGGGAGTCCCAAAATTATTGATATCCTTTTTAGTAATTTCACTTGAGATTATTATTGTAATAAAGAAAAAAAGCTAAAAAATAGAAAGTATAAAATAATTGATGGGGTACTTATAGCACTCTGTTTTTTAGGACAATGTTCTAAGCCAAATTACCTTTGGATCATACATAGTAAGGTTTGTATTGTAATGTTTGGTTTCCAATGGGAAACACAAAACAAAAGCCTCATGTTGTTTGTATTCAAAATTGGGTTTAACTGGTAAAATTAAAACAACTTAGGATGTAGTCCAAGTGGTCATCATAGATAGGGCACTTAAGTATCAGGGTGAGATTTTAGGTTCAAGTGTATAAAGTGATACCTGTATTGTAATCTAATTACACGCTATCTTTGTCCAAAAAAATAATAATAATAACAAAAATAATTGACAAATTTAAAACAGTAAAATTAGGCTTGGATTTGGCAGCCCTTTTGTGGGCCGAGTTCATTGATAAAGGGTTTGAGCTTGTATGGGCCCAATCAACTGGTTTGGGTTTGGCAGGCCTTTTTTGCATAGATTGGGCTGGTTTCATAACTGTGAGTGTATGGTTATGAAATATTTGATAGTTTGGACCAGGTTATTAAATATTAAGTTGGTCCAAAATAATGCTTGAGATAGCATTATTGGGCCACACCTTGATAATGTCGGACTTCAGCCTTACAATGCTTCTCCTGTAAAGTGATGCATACCAATCTATAAAAAAATAAAATAAAATAAAAAACAAAACAAAAACAAAGGTGATGCATCTAATAAGAGTTGCTTCCCAGACCAAATAATAATAATAAATTTGCTTCATTAATAAGTTAGTGATAATCTAGGGAAATTTTAATATAGACCCTTTAAAAGGGTGTATTATATGTACCAAGATTAATTTTTTCTTTAGTTATGACCCATGAGTTTTTTAATTATGCATCATATTGTGTTTAGTTATGACATTTTTTTTTTAATTATGACTCAGAAAATTGAAATTATACTATTTTTCTTTTTAATTATAAAATAAATATGAAGGATGTACATCATAGTGTTTCCCAATAATCTATCTATCTATAATTTAGAGCAAGTTTGGCAATAGACAAAATAGTCAAAAAGTCAACTATTCTTTTTATTTTATTTTTTACATTTTTTTTTTGTTAAAAATCAAAAAACTAACTAAAATAGCTAGTACTCAAAACAATTCTTACTATACATAAATGAATAATTCTACATATACTAACAATCTTACTAAAATACAAAAAACTAAATGTGATTGGTTGTAAAAAAAGTAATGATATTTAAACACTCAATGATGTTTTTAACATGTA